AGGAAGGAAGGAAGGAAGGAAGGAAGGAAGGAAGGAAGGAAGGAAGGAAGGAAGGATGACAGTACCCTTATGACTGGTTTTGATCTGGACACAAACTCCTGCGGATATCAACCCACTTTGACGGCAAATAGAGATCTCAGTTGCTCCAAGGCAGGGAGAATGGGTCCACGAAAGAGCAATGCATATGTGTCTCCCGCCCCCCCCCCCCCAAAGGACTCCTTTCCTCTTGCTCCTGGCATTGTACAAGGAAATGCCAAGGCAACATCCTTCCAGTTTATGTAATGAAGCCTTCCATTGCCTAAAGAGAACCTCATAGATTTCATAGGGTTTTCTTAGGCAAGGAGTACTCAGAGGTGGTTTTGCCAGTTCCTTCCCTTGAAACGGAACCCATAACACCTGGTACTCCTTGGTGGCCTCCCATCCAATTCTGAACCAGAGCTAACCCAGCTTAGCTTCCAAGATCGGCTGCCTTTAATGCACATGCCTCAAACCCAAAACCCAAGTTGTAGTTTGATGAGCCCCCATTGCTCAATTGTAAGGAAAGCTAAAGGCCTTGTAAAACTACAACTCCCAGGGTTGCACAGCACTGAGCCATGGAAGAAGAAGTGGTCTCAAGCTGCATTCATTCTACAGTGTAGATCAGGCATGGGCAAACTTGGGCCCTCTAGGTGTTTTAGACTTCAACTCCCACAATTCCTAACATTTCTCTCTCTTACTGGTTTGTTGTGAGTTTTCCGGGCTCTATGGCCATGTTCCAGAAGCATTCTCTCCTGACATTTTGCCTGCATCTATGGCAGGCATCCTCGGAGGTTGTGAGGTCTGGTAGAAACTAGGCAAGTGGGGTTTATATATCCGTGGAATGTCTAGGGTGGGTCAATATTGGAATCAGCCACTTTGATTAGCATTGCAGTTTCAAGGTCTGGCTTCTTACTGGAATCCTTTATTGAGAGGTGATTAGCTGGCCCTGATTATTTCCTGTCTGGAATTCCCGTTTTTTGAGTGTTGCTCTTTATTTACTGTTATGATTTTGGAGTTTTTTTAAAAAAATACTGGTAACCAGATTTTGTTTAATTTTCATGGTTTCTTCCTTTCTGTTGAACTTGTCCACCTGCTTGTGATTTCAGTGGCTTCTCGGTGTAGTCTGACATGGTGGCTGTTAGATCGGTCCAGCATTTCTGTGTTCTCAAATGATATGCTGTGTACAGATTGGTTCATTGAGTGCTTTACTATGTCTGACTTCTGTGGTTGAAGTCTTACTTACTTACATAGGTGATCCCTCATTGTCTGAGTAGGATTGTCTTCCAAGATCGGTGTCCTGGCGGTGGGTCCGTAGGTGACTGTGGAGCCCTATTCTTGATCTGCATCTTCTCCTGCTGTGAGGGCATTGGTTTCCAGGTGGAAGGCGATCCTGGTTAGGGTTGGCTTTGTCAGAGATTGACGATACCCAGCGGAAGGAATGCTAAATCAAGCAGACACTGAGTTGCAAAATAAGGACTCTGCAGGCTTTGAGTTACAAAAGAAACTAAGTTTACTAAGTATATACAACAGACACATCTTTTTACAGCGAGCTACAATTCAGGAAGAACAACAAAGAACTAGTCAAAACTGAAAGCCTCTTTACATCTGCTTATCTTTTCTTGCTGAGACTGGCTACTCCCTTCTGTTCTCAGCAAGAACAAACCTTATCTTATTTTTCTCAAGTTCACTTCTAAGCCAAAGAGCCAGCATTGTCCGTAGACATCTCCAAGGTCATGTGGCTGGCATGACTGCATGGAGCGCCGTTACCTTCCTGCTTGAGTGGTGCCTATTGATCTACTCACATTTGCATGTTTTTGAACTGCTAGTTTGGCAGAAGCTGGGCCTAACAGCAGGAGCTCACCCCGCTCCCTGGATATGAACCACCAACCTTTCAGTCAGGAAGTTCAGCAGCTCAGCGGTTTGACCCGCTGCACCACCGGGGGGGGGGGGCTGCATTTATAATATGGCAGTGTAAATCCAACCTGAGAAAGGTCCTTTTCAGGAGAAGAAAGGCAAGTATGAATCATTTCAATACTCAGGATATCCTCTGCCCTGATGGAAATGGAATATCCTGGATATTGCAATGATAGCTTGGGTCTTGAAATGCAGATGAACGGCTCTGGGAATATGGGCATATCACCCTCCCAAATACAAATTATCTCCCCTCTAATGAAATTCTACTTCAGTCCCCAAATTTCTAGCATTAGAGGAAAAAAATGGCTTGTTCCTAGAACTCTTTGATTTGCTGTGTCGGCATTCCCTTGGTAACTGTGCCTTGTCCCTTTTTCTTTGGATGTCTAAACTGTATTTCTAAACGCTTCACTTACTGCAGTGCTAGCAATTCTAAGAATCTGAGGAAGGAAGGAAGGAAGGAAGGAAGGAAGGAAGGAAGGAAGGAAGGAAGGAAGGAAGGAAGGATGACAGTACCCTTATGACTGGTTTTGATCTGGACACAAACTCCTGCGGATATCAACCCACTTTGACGGCAAATAGAGATCTCAGTTGCTCCAAGGCAGGGAGAATGGGTCCACGAAAGAGCAATGCATATGTGTCTCCCCCCCCCCCCCCAAAGGACTCCTTTCCTCTTGCTCCTGGCATTGTACAAGGAAATGCCAAGGCAACATCCTTCCAGTTTATGTAATGAAGCCTTCCATTGCCTAAAGAGAACCTCATAGATTTCATAGGGTTTTCTTAGGCAAGGAGTACTCAGAGGTGGTTTTGCCAGTTCCTTCCCTTGAAACGGAACCCATAACACCTGGTACTCCTTGGTGGCCTCCCATCCAATTCTGAACCAGAGCTAACCCAGCTTAGCTTCCAAGATCGGCTGCCTTTAATGCACATGCCTCAAACCCAAAACCCAAGTTGTAGTTTGATGAGCCCCCACTGCTCAATTGTAAGGAAAGCTAAAGGCCTTGTAAAACTACAACTCCCAGGGTTGCACAGCACTGAGCCATGGAAGAAGAAGTGGTCTCAAGCTGCATTCATTCTACAGTGTAGATCAGGCATGGGCAAACTTGGGCCCTCTAGGTGTTTTAGACTTCAACTCCCACAATTCCTAACATTTCTCTCTCTTATTGGTTTGTTGTGAGTTTTCCGGGCTCTATGGCCATGTTCCAGAAGCATTCTCTCCTGACATTTTGCCTGCATCTATGGCAGACATCCTCGGAGGTTGTGAGGTCTGGTAGAAACTAGGCAAGTGGGGTTTATATATCCGTGGAATGTCTAGGGTGGGTCAATATTGGAATCAGCCACTTTGATTAGCATTGCAGTTTCAAGGTCTGGCTTCTTACTGGAATCCTTTATTGAGAGGTGATTAGCTGGCCCTGATTATTTCCTGTCTGGAATTCCCGTTTTTTGAGTGTTGCTCTTTATTTACTGTTATGATTTTGGAGTTTTTTTAAAAAAATACTGGTAACCAGATTTTGTTTAATTTTCATGGTTTCTTCCTTTCTGTTGAACTTGTCCACCTGCTTGTGATTTCAGTAGCTTCTCGGTGTAGTCTGACATGGTGGCTGTTAGATCGGTCCAGCATTTCTGTGTTCTCAAATGATATGCTGTGTACAGATTGGTTCATTGAGTGCTTTACTATGTCTGACTTCTGTGGTTGAAGTCTTACTTACTTACATAGGTGATCCCTCATTGTCTGAGTAGGATTGTCTTCCAAGATCGGTGTCCTGGCGGTGGGTCCGTAGGTGACTGTGGAGCCCTATTCTTGATCTGCATCTTCTCCTGCTGTGAGGGCATTGGTTTCCAGGTGGAAGGCGATCCTGGTTAGGGTTGGCTTTGTCAGAGATTGACGATACCCAGCGGAAGGAATGCTAAATCAAGCAGACACTGAGTTGCAAAATAAGGACTCTGCAGGCTTTGAGTTACAAAAGAAACTAAGTTTACTAAGTATATACAACAGACACATCTTTTTACAGCGAGCTACAATTCAGGAAGAACAACAAAGAACTAGTCAAAACTGAAAGCCTCTTTACATCTGCTTATCTTTTCTTGCTGAGACTGGCTACTCCCTTCTGTTCTCAGCAAGAACAAACCTTATCTTATTTTTCTCAAGTTCACTTAATCACAGCCTCAAAGTATAAACATTTCTGCGTGGCATTTTCAATTCACTATGGCATCCATCTTGACAGGCCCATAGCCAGGATTTTGTTTCGGGGGGGGGGGGGGCTGAGTCTGAGTTTCAGGGGGGGGGGGCTGAGTCTGAGTGAAAGAGGGTCTACCCTAGCAAACCTTTTGTATCATTACCCCAATACCCCCATGCATATGGGATATATTGAGCATGGTGATCAGATCATGATATGAATAAACATAACAGTTTAAATAATGTACCAGGAAGGCCTTCTCGTGGACCACCATCAGAATTTCAGGGGTGCAGGGCCAGGGCCAGTTCTCAGTGTCTATGCCAGAGTTTTTAAGATTGGCTTTGAGCCCATTTTTAAATCTCTTTTCCTGCCCACAGACATTCCATTTTCCATTCTTGAGTTAAGCGACGGTCCTCTGCAGTCAACTCTGCTGTGGTTGAAGTAGTCTGCACTCAGTGCTTCTCTCTCTGGCTCTTTGGCGCCCTCTAGCGTTGGGACAGGCAGCAGCTGGTCCGCCTGTGGGCACGTGCCAAGCGCGTGCCTTTCTTCCCTCCCTTTTTCTTTCCGCCTCTCTGCTGCTCTCTTGCGACCTCTGTAGGCAGAACCTTTCTCTCTCTCGCATTCTCTCTCTCTCTCTCTCTCTCTCTCTGGGGCGCCCTCTAGTGTTGGGGAAAGAATGGACCGAGGCGGCGGAGGCGGCAGCGACCGAGCACGTGCCAGGCGCGCGCATCCTTCGAATCCTTCTTCCTGCTGCTGGTGCGCGCGCTCACTTACTTCCCCCCCTCCCTCCCCTTTTTGTCCTTTCCCGCATTCTGTCGGAGCGCGCGCCTCCAGGATTCCCAGGCTTGGCTTCGCTTGGCTTGCCTGCGCGCGCGCGCGCTGTGTGTATGCGCGTGCAAAAACCAAATAAAGTAAATAAATAAATAAATAAGCGGGCGGCGGGAGCGCGCGGCGCGTGCACACAACATCCTAGCGCGGCAAAAAAAGAAGGGGGAAAAAAAGCAGAGCAGAGCGGAGGCGAACATCATGATGATGATGGGGATGGTAGCATTGGAAGGAGATGCTGCTCTTGCTGCTTCTGCTTCTTCTTCTTCCCCCGTTTCTGCTGCAGCACTCGCCTTCCCGCAGCGGTTCAGGATCAGGTGAGAGAGGGACTCCCTCTTATTATTATTATTATTATATATTTGGGGAGGAGGGAAGCCTACCTTGCAAGGAGCTGGTATGCCTGCCCAGAAGGCGCCCTCTGCATATGCGCAGGGGCACTCTCGCTTGGCTTTTTCTTTGAGATGGAGGATCCTCACCCCAATCCCCCCCCCGCCCCAAACAAACAAAACACACACCCCACCTTCGGCTCCTCTGCCTGGCTGACCTTGGCAGCGCGACCTGGGGATGCGGCTTTTCCCGCGCTGGAAAAATCAGAGCGGGCTTCTTCTGCACTCTGGGAGGAGTGCAGCCCGGCGTGGCTCAGTACTGCACAGTCTTGGGACTTGTAGTTTGGCAAGGTCCTTTCGCCTTCCCTGCCCCAGAATGCCCGGGGTGCATCTAAAGTGTGGAATGAATGCAGGTTGGCATGGCTCAATAATATGGAAACCAGGGAGTTGTAGTTTTCCAAGGTCCTTTCGCCTTCCCAGCCCCAGAATGCCTGAGCTGCAGCTACATAGTGTGGGATGAACGCAACTTGGCATGGCTCAATAATATGGAATACTGGGAGCTGTAGTTTTCCAAGGTCCTTTTGCCTTCCCTGCCCCAGAGTGTTTGGGGTGCATCTTCACTGTAGATTGGAATAATGCAACTTGGCATGGCTCAATAGTATGGAATCCTGGGAGTTGTAGTTTTCCAGGGTCCTTTCACCTTCCTTGTCCCAGACTGCCAGGGGTTCCTCTACACAGCGTGGAATGACTGCAACTTGGCATGGCTCTATAAAATGGAATGCTGGGAGTTGTAGTTTTCCAGGGTCCTTTTGCCTTCTCTGCCCCAGATGCCAGGTGTGCATCTACACAGTGTGGAATGGATGCAGCTTGGCATGGCTCAATAGTATGGAATCCTTGGAGTTGTAGTTTTCCAAGGTCCTCCCCCCCCTCCCTAGAATGCCAGGGGTGCATCTACAGCAGTGTTTCTCCACCTTCCTAATTCCACGACCCCTTAATAAAGTTCCTCATGTTGTGCTGACCGTCAACCATAAAATTATTTTCATTGCTACTTCATAACTGTAATTTTGCTACTGTTATGAAGCATAATGTGAATACCTAATATGCAGGATGTATTTTCATTCACTGGACCAAATTTGGCACAAATACAGAATATGCCCAAATTTGAATACTGGTGGGGTTAGGGGTAATTGATTTTGTCATTTTGGAGTTGTAGTTTCTGGGATTTATAGTTAACCTACAATGAAAGAACATTTGGAACTCCACCAACAATGGAATTGGGTTAAACTTGGCACACAGAGCTCCCATGACCAACAGAAAATACTGGAAGGGTTTGGTGGGCATTGACCTTGAGTTTTGGAGTTGTAGTTCACCTACATCCAGAGAGCACTGTGGACTCAAACAATGATGGGTCTGGACCTCACATGGCACGAATACTCTATATGCCCAAATGTGAACACTGTGGAGTTTGAGGAAAATAGACCATGACATTTGGGAATTGTGGTAGCTAGGATTTATAGTTCACTTACAATCAAAGAGCATTCTGAACCCCACCAATGATAGAATTGGGCCAAACTTCCCATACATAACCCCCATGACCAACAGAAAATACTGTGTTTCTGATGGTCTTTGGCGACCCCTCTGACACCCCCCTTGCGACCCCCTCCCAGGGGTCCTGACTCCCAGGTTGAAAAACACTGATCTACAGTGTCGAATGAACACAGCTTGGTATGGCTCAATAGTATGGAATCCTGGGAGTTTTAGTTTTCCAAGGTCCTTTTGGGTTCCCTGTCCCAGAGTGCCTGAAGTGCATCTACACAGTGTGGAATGAACACAGCTTGGCATGGCTTAATAGTATGGAATCCTGGGAGTTGTAGTTTTCCAAGGTTCCTTTGTGTTTCCTGCTCCAGAATGCCTGAAGTTCATCTACACAGTGTGGAATGAATGCAGCTTGGCATGGCTCAGTAGTATGGAATCCTGTAGTTTTGCAAGCTCTTTAGCTTTATCTGATCAAGAGTGATTGGACCTGCCAAACTGCAAATCCTAGGACTCTACGGGGGAATCGTAGTAATAACAAACTGCATTCATTCTAATCCAAGAGACCCCAGTCTCACCTCATAAGACACAATCAAACCCCTCCTGGCAGATGGCCATCTAGCCTCTGCTTTAAAAGCCTCCAGAGAAGAAGACTCCCATCACACTCCAAGGAAGCAACATATTGCACTGTTAAACAGAGGAATCCTGAGGCTCTGTGAAGTTTTCAGAGTGGGATGAGGAGAGTCCAGATTGCTGAGGTTCTTGTTGAACTGAAGGATGGATTTTGGTTCCTTGAAAAGTGGGGAAATGGACCAGAGAAGGAGTAGACCTTGGTAGTGGCTCTCATTCCTGGAGTGGACTAAAGTGGCTCACTTGCATTGAGCAGTAGGCATCTACAGTGCAGAATCAGAGCACTTTGGGTCCAGCTAAACCAGGCATAGGCAAACTTGGGCCTTCTGGACTTCAACTCCTACCATTCCTAACAGCCTCTTGCCCCTTCCTCAACTCCCTCCATTCCTAACAGCCTCAGGAAGGGCCTAAGGCTGTTAGGAATGGTGGGAGTTGAAGTCCAAAACACCTGGAGGGCCCATGCCTGATCTACACCATCTAGTCTAATCCCATTCTGTCATGCAGGAAGACACAATCAAAGCCCTCCCGACAGATGGTCATCCAACCTCTTCTTAAAAACCTCCGAGAAGGAGACTCCACCATACTCTCAAGGCCCAGCAGCTCTTACCATTAAGCTTAGTTGAGATTTGGATTCCTAATCATGTAAGGCAGTATTGGGTCTCCCTTTGTCCGTAAAACCTCACAGCCAAACGATTATAATCCATTCAGCATTATATCCCATTGCCGAACAGCTCTATCAGCAAATTCTTCCTAATGTTCAGGTGGAATCTTCTTTCCTACAATGAGAATCCACTGCTTGTGCCCTTGTCTCCAGAGCAGCAGAAAACAAGTTCAAACCACATCTTCCAAGGCCTCTCTCCTCACTTGAATTTTCCCTGTGTAGCAGAATGGGGTTGGACTGCATGGCCTTTGGGGGTCTCTTCCAATTCAGTGATTCTAAATTCAGTAGAAAATGTCCAAAAAAGGTTGACTTTCCATATCTCTGTGCCCCAGAGGACTGCATGGTGCCAATGCCTTTTTTCCATTTGCAGTAATCATTTAAAATGATTTTTGGCTGCCTTTAAGCGTGAAACACTCCCATGCACATTAGTTGAAGCTGGGCTGTTTTTATTTTTTTTCCACCTAATTTCCTGCCTGTGTTGTGATCTGTTTTAGTTTTGTTAGTTTCATCATTTGCACCAAGTTTTACTTCCTGCGATTTTATCCTTAATTGCATACCACCCTTAATGTTGGAAACAGAAGTCTAGAAACATGTTTCTGTGTGTGCAYATAAGCTTCTTAAAATGTCTGTCTAAACCAGGCATGGGCAAACTTGAGCCCTCCAGGTGTTTTGGACTCCAACTCCCACAATTCCTAACAGCCAGTAGGCTGTTAGGAATTGTGGGAGTTGGAGTCCAAAACACCTGGAGGGCTGAAATTTGCCCATGCCTGGTCTAAACAGACTTTGTTTGCAAGTATAGTAATTTGCATCTGTATTGTAGAATTAATGCAGTTTGATACTGCTTTAACTGCCAGGGCTCAATGCTATGGAACCTTGAGAGTCATAGTTTGGTGAGGCATCAGCAGGGAAGTTAAGACCTTGTAAAACTACAGTTTCCATTATTCCATTGCATTGAGCCATGGCAGGTAAAGTGGTGCCAARCTGCATTCATTCCACAGTGTAGATCAGGCATGGGCAAACTTTGGCCTTCCAGGTATTTTGGACTTCAACTCCCTACTGGCTGTTAGGAATTGTGGAAGTTGGAGTCCAAAACACCTGGAGGGCCCAAGTTTGCTCATGCCTGGTGTAGGTGCACCCTTCAGATCCCTAGCTATGGCAAGTAAAAAGTGTTGTCAAACTCCATTCCTTCTTCAGGCTGAAACCTAGCAGGGTTTGACTCGCCTGTCAATCAAAGACAGGTGAGTAAATCACTTCCAAACTCAGCCAGTGACCTCTGTTGGCAGTCGGGGAATCACCCTAGGGAGGCGGGGAGGGAAAAAACTTCCACTGACTAGGTTGTTGTGAATTTTCCGGGCTGTATGACCATGTTCCAGAAGCATTCTCTCCTGACATTTCGCCCACATCTGTGGCAGGCATCCTCAGAGGTTATGAGGTCTGTTGGAAACTAGGCAAGTGGGGTTTGCCCATGCATGGTATAGATGTATCCATACTCATCATGTGGCTACAACTCCCTTTTGATCATCAAAAGGGATGGCCACGGTAGTCCACACTCTGGTTACATCCTGTATAGACTACTGCAACGTGCTCTATGTGGGGTTGCCTTTGAAAACAGTTCAGAAGCTTCAAATGGTCCAACGTGTGGCAGCCAGGTTACTAACGAGAGCAGCGCTCAGGGAGCATACAACTTCACTGTTGTGCCAACTCCACTGGCTGCCAGTTTGCTACCGGGCACAATTCAAAGTGCTAGCCTATCAGGTCCTAAACAGTTCCAGGCCAGCTTATCTATCCAAACGAATCTCGCCCTATGAACCTTCTAGAAATTTAAGATTGTCTGAGGAAACCCTGCTCTCAATCCCGCCTGCCTCACAGGTGTGTCTGGCAGGGACGAGAGACAGGGCCTTCTCAGTGGTGGCCTCCCGGCTGTAAAACTCCCCTCCCTCCTGATCTTTCAGAAAAGGGTGAAAACCTGGCTCTTCAGAACTTCAGCGTGACCAGATAAACACAAATTTGGAATATGAATACGGAATGGCTAAGATGATGTAAACGGATGAGGAATTGGACTGGAAGACATTGTTTGTTATAGATTTTTATAGTTTTTATGCTTTTTATATGTATTTTATGATGTGCCTTAATTGCTTTTAACCGTTATATGTATATATATGTGGCA